AATTGGATATATATATATAAATAAGGAATATAATAAGGAACTATGACAGTTTTCTTTTTAAGTATTTTTTTTAATATAACGCGTGTCTGAAAGAAAGTACTTCGAGAGAACTAAGGAAAACTAAAGAAATTTGGAAGCAAGATGTATAATTTCAGAATATGAGGTTTTAAGGATCTTTTTGAGATTGATGATACGAAATAGTTGTGACAGTTTTGTTTTGTCTGAAAGAAAGTACTCCGAGAGAGCAGAGAACTAAGGAAACTTGAAAACAAGATGTACAATTTTAAGAATCTTTTTGATATGAAATTGACTTATTATAATATATATATTAGTTTTTTTTTAAGTTATTTTTTTTTTTTTTTGTTATAACGCGTGTCTGAAAGAAAGTACTCGAAGAAACTAAGGAAACTTGAAAGCAAGATGTATAATTTCAAGAATATGAGGTTTCAATCTTCTTGATATAATAATATAAAATTGTGTGACTTATAGTGATAGTTTTCTTTTTAGGTATTTTTTTAATATAGACGTTTTTCCGAAAGAAAGTACTCGAAGAAATTAAGGAAACTTGAAAGGAAGATGTATAATTTCAGAATACAAGATTTCAAGAATCTTGTTGATGCGATGATACGAAACTGACTTGTCGCGACACTTTTCTTTTTAGGTATATATTTTTTTAAATACAGACGTTTGTCCGAAGAAAAGAAAGTACTCGAAGAAACAACGAAGAAAACTTGAAAGCAATAAAATGTGAACGCGAGCCAAGTTGGAAAGGAATGCACGCAAAAGTGCACCTAATAAACAGTTAGGAATACGATTTAAAGCGAAGGTAGGGATTCTAAAGCGGATACGCGTATTTCAAATTCCTATCCAGATGCACGTATTTCGAGACGAGAAAAAGAAGGACGAAGAAAATTTCTCAAAGTTCCCCTTCGATGCTTCTCATCGAAGCCGCTCATCTCCGCCCGTCCTCGATCGACGACGATTAAAGGTTTTTCACCGGTTTGTCCGCCCGAGGTTGGACCTCGACCGCGACCCCGCCGTGCATCGCGTGCGGATGATCGTGAATTGCGCCTCTTCGATCGTAATCACCACCGTCCCTCGTCCTCCTTACTTCTGCATCCTCCTTTCCCCCCTCTTTTTTGCACCGCCGTGAAATCTCTCGGTTATTTCTCTTTCCATTCTCACACACGCTCAGACTCGGCGTGGCAGCGCCAATCTCCCCATTCGTATCGAAAAATTTAAATCTCTAACTTTTCCGATTCTCTCGTAAATGGTTTCTCAATTTGTTCATCGAGGCCTCGCTCCAAAAATTTTTCCAAATTACCACCAAGAAACGAATGAATGGAGGGAAGGGAAGAGAAGTCGGAAGCAGAGCAACTATTCCTTTCGAAAGGGATGGAACGATCATTAGCTCGACCCCCTCGATCGGATCATCCTCTCGATGAAAACTGTATATCGAGCGGATTCGGGACAAGTCGGACACGTCCCATCGATATAAATAAAGTATCCCTCCCGACTATGGATCGTCCGACGCGGGGGCAAATGAAAAATGCCGAGGCCGGCGATCAATGTAAATATATTCATGACGTGGGGTGGATACGCGCGTGTGTGCGTGTATATTATATATATATACATATGTACACGCATATATAATGTTCGCGTGGAAGGTTTTAGAGGGCCGGCTCTCTTTCTTCGAGTGGAGGCGACTCGATGCCACTCGAAAGGCGCATAATTCACTCTTTGGCAGCTCATTACAATTTAAAAAGGCTTTTGTCAGTGTTACCGGTCGCCGTGATTCCTTACGAGCTCGCGTCAGGGGCCTGTCACCTTTCGGCCCTTCCACGAAAAAAAGCCTTCTTTTCATTTTTCTCGAGGCTCGAGGCTGTTAATACTCGGCCTGATCGATATTTCATAGTTTCGAGACGATTACGCGCTTTATATATTGGGTGTCCCAGCAAGTTTCTTCCTACTTTTTTCTTATTAGTTTTAACGGAATTTACGTTAGAACGTGGTTTTTTGCTTCAATTTTTATTGTTGGCTTTCGTGAAAAATTGTGAAAATGACAAGCGCTAGAAAGAGCTTTTCGTGGATGAGATGAAGGAAGCGATTTGTAGCTCCTGGAAAAAAGAAGCGAGACAGATATATATATATATGTGTGTGAATTCCGTCAGGCTGTGAACGTTTCGCAAAATATCACGCTCGTAAGAAATACTGGACGTGTGAATATAAGTAACTTTGCAAAATTTAATAGCGTGTTAATTCAATGAAACTGCACCGCTTTAAAACCGCATGTTTATCCGGAAAGACAGGGAAAAAATAACCCGTTGAGAAGAATCGAAGAGTTTCTTGTGCAAGCTTAGAAGATCGGCTGATCGAAGTATCTCACGAAACGATTTAATCCTTTTTATCCTACATTTTATTATTACAAATGCTAGGATATATATTCACGTAACATATACGCATATTATAAGATAAAATTTATTTTATATATATATATTTTTCAAATTTTTTTATTAAAACAGCAAGTCAACTCGTATATAATATTCCCAGAGAAATGTGTTTTTCGTTTCGTATCGAATATGAAAAAAAATTTCGAATTGATTGGAAATTTTATACAAAAGGTTAAATTTGGAAATTTTAATTTGGAAAACGACGACGCTGAGTCAGAGGAATCCGAGCCAGACACGAGAAGAATCGGCAGAAAGATCTGATTTAAATCTCGAATTTGGAAGAAAAATAGGAAAAAACTTACTCTAACAATTACAAAAAGTATCGTAATTTATTGGAATCTCAGATCACGTATTCTTCGTTGAAAAAAAATCAATTTTAACAATAAAATTCTATAATAACTTTTCGCGAAATAAGGGAA